AGGGAGGGAGGGAGGGAGGGAGGAAAATCGACTTCTTAGTTCCTATTGGAATATTCATATGCAGAAAAAATTATGTAGAATATACAGACCGTAGAATATATTACCAGATGAAATTACTAATATAGAGGATGTATTTATCATTAGATTTTGTTGATGTTCGCTGACCAGTTCAATTTTTAATTCGTTCTTGATAGGAACATGACCAAAGTGAATTGATCTACTCACTACAAGATAAGGTACGAAGTACTAGTACAAATGTATTGATGTGTCGTAAAATCCATGAAAGATTGGTTCACCGATTTGGTTCTCAAGGCACCAAAAATAAGGCTCCTTTATTCTGCATGTACCACATACTGATAGCTCCTCAATTTGAGCGTCTCTGTATAGAACTTTTCTTTTGTTCATCATTTTGTTTGTACCGAAGCTAGAACACAATACATCCTGTTAATCGAACTCAAAAAAGCATCAACATCATCAACATCATTATCATCATCAACATCGTCAGGCTCATCAACATCATTATCATCATCAACATCATCACCATCATCAACATCATCATCAACATCATCATCTCAACATCATCACCATCATCATCAACATCATCATCATCTTCAACATCATCATCTCAACATCATCATCATCATCAACAACAACATCATCGTCATCATCAACATCATCATCAACATCATCATCAACATCATCATCAACATCATCATCATCATCATCATCATCATCCATTAATATTTCTTCTAACATCCTTTCACTTAGGTCCGTCTTAAATACAACGACATCTGATTGCCCTTTTGACTTGTACCATTTAATTTTGTGCTAACTGGTTCCTCGTTACTCAGTTTTCTTTCTATTGTATTTTACATCCTTCAGGCCTCACTTTACCTTCATTACTGTGTTATCGCCATGACGGCTTTTCATGCTCTGCGAGAGTTTCTCCAGATGTATAACAATGTAAGTCCACCATAAAAATTATATAGTACGAAATTGTTTTGGTAGAATAACACTTATTATTATATAATTACCAATGAAATATCTATTTTTCTCTATTTCGAATAATTGATACCTTCACACGTGAAAATAACACCATTGCGATGGCTATTCAAAAATACACGGAAAGAATTGCCTGAAAAAGCCAAAACATACTTTCATTGATAATTATATAATAAACAGTATATTACATGGGCGCGCGGAGATACGAAATTTATCTTCTCGTGTTGAAAATCTCTCACTCGTTCGCTGCACTCACTTGTGAGAGATCTTTTCAACACTCGAAGATAAATTTCGTATCTCCGCGCGCCCATGTAATATCCTCTATTTATTATAACACTCGTTATTTTTTCCTTTCTCGCTCGCCTTAAGATAGCCATCGTAAAAGGAAGTTCACTATTTGAATCCGAGTTTGCAACGAAAAAGCATTAGCGTGCGAGACTTGGAGCAAGTCTACACTGCATGTGAATAATAGCTCTCGAAGAAACAAACTCGTGGTGCTTCTTTAACGTTTCTAGTTTATTAGTGACCCCCATTTACATGCTCATCCGATCAATGTATACATTCGTAGATGTAATTACAAAGGCAGCAAAGTTCTTTTCGGTTATCATAAGACCCTGAGTTTTGGTCCGGCCGAGGCTTGAACCACGACCTCCCGCACGTTCTTACCAAATGAGATAACTGTGTGTAAGTTTGTTTCCCTTTTGTCGTGAAACTTTTATATGTTCGTCTTCCATGCAGCGTCTGTTGTACTTCACATCGTTATCTAACTATCTCGAATGGACTGGGTACATCTTTACATTCCTTTACGTCATCCCCCCGTATGACTGCAAGTGGGGCATCCATCAGCGGTTTGGTGCTGTCTCTTTGTTTTTTAGTTGGACCAATCTCATTCTGTACTTTCGCAAGTAAGTATTTATAAATTATTACGACTGCATTGCCACCTGTTACATATAATACATGGACTTCAGACTTATCATGTTGATGATATTGCAAGGCATATCTAAACTTTTTCTTCTCTTCTCTTCTCTTCTCTTCTCTTCTCTCATCTACTTTTTTCTTTCCTATCCATTGATTTGATCCTTTCCCTTTAATCGCCTTTTATTTTCTGTTGTCAATTTCCTTTATGGTCTTGTTGTCATATAACTCTTGTTGTCATATAACTCTTGTTGTCATATAACTCTTGTTGTCATATAACTCTTGTTGTCATATAACTCTTGTTGTCATATAACTTCTTTTCTCCATCTCGTTCAATCCAGGTTGTCATTCTATGGTCAGTATGTTATCATGCTGTCAACCATGTTTGTGACGCTGTTTAAGGTAAGTACGTCCATCTTTAGGTGAAACATTTTGGTGCCATTGCAAATGGCAAAACTTAGGTCCTTTCGGATATAGCGTGAACATGATGCATTGTGGTCTAGCTTGGGTACAAGCATCTTTTGTTCATTTTGCTCTCTCTCTCTCTCTCTCTCTTTCTCTCTCTCTCTCTCTTTCTCTCTCTCTCTCTCTCTTTCTCTCTCTCTCTCTCTAGTTTTATTTTACCACAGCTAGGTCAGAATGCCCATCCCTTGTTTGTTGAATTCTAAAAGTGCATGTCTATGGCAGCTAAGCGGTTGTGCTAGCCGCTTCGAACATAAAAAGAGAATGAAAAGACCGTTTTAATTATCGATAATATTAATATATTAGTTCTCGTTAGATCTATGATAACAAATAAAAACACTTTTTATTTCAGGTATTGATGCTGTTTTTCTTGTTTGTGATGGCGTTTGGGACGACGTTCTATCTTCTTTTGGATAATGTTGTAAGTACTGAATAAATACATTGGTTTTCTACATGGTGACACATGCCTGCTCATTGGGCTTCCTTTGGCATAGGCCGTCTAAACCACAGACAGTCCAACCTTGTAGCATAGGAAGTCCAAAGTCATTGAGATGCCCGTTGAGGAGGATGACAACGGTACTTTCTCAAAAAGCAATTGGATGCGTGGCTAACTTGAAAATACAAAACAAATCCCACCTTTTCTCGATGGAATTTGTGTCATTTCTTAATTTTGCATTTCCATGTTAACCTCTCATTCAAGATAATTTTGAGAAAAGTTCATTTATCATTGGGAATAAACCTCGATTCACACAGATTGTGAGAGGATAGTGTGAAATGTGTTAGTACATAATCTCCATAATTTTAATTTCGTAAGAAAAGAACAAAACACATTTCAAACAGTCACACACACGTTAGTCTCCCTGGCATTCGGAGCGTTGCGTGACGACCGACACTAAAAACGGATGCGAGGGAGACTACACACACGTTTGTAACATTATATTTCACAGGATTCATTTCTACGGCTCGAGTACTCCTTGATGACGATGTTCGTAATGACACTTGGCGAGATGAACTACGCCGATACTTTTATGCCGTGGAAAAACCTTCCCCACCCCACCCTGACAAACATCTTGTTTCTCGTGTTCGCTCTGGGGATGCCTATTATTCTTATGAATATGTTGGTGAGTACAGAGTTGATATTACTCTAATCCTGTCGGTCACGTGGGGCTGAATATGGACTACTTCGACGATACGGCGGCCCACAGGAAGCCCAATTTAGATTAAAGTGAATGGTAAATTAAAATAAAATCGGAAAAATGAAATAATTGATTATTTCTTAAATCGATTTCACGAGATTTCACGAGTTTATTGATTTCACTCTAGCATAAATAGCGTAGATCAAAACAATTTATGAACCACAATAGGTCGTTCCTATGTTATTAATTTAGGTGGAGCTTCCGCTAAAAAATTATTCGATTTCAGTACATATCGTAAGTGGTTGATGATTGCGCATTTGATCATATTCAAAATGTTAATTTTCGCATTATAAATAATAAATATTATTATGATCATTGTTTTGAGTCGGCTTCTCCCAACTGGAGCCAGAACTGGAGCCAGAAGAGGGATCAAACATTTCAAGATATAATCTCTCTTAACCCTTGATCTTTACTGGTTTCTATCGTAGGTTGGTCTTGCTGTTGGTGACATCGATGGTATCATGAAAAACGCGGCAATGGATCGATATGTCACGCAGGTACACGCGGTTATTCTTTCTTACTGACACAGCAGACTTCGCGTAGAAACTTTCAGCACACATCTGGCACATCTAGTTTTCTTCTCACTTGACAAGAAAAATCTATATAAGCACTACCCTGAGGTCTCCACCACATGTATTCCAGTACTTTGGAAAACAGAATTTTTATTCCTTTTTCAAAAAAAATCGTATTAAAGGGTCCAAAACCAATCGTTTTCGAAAAGTTGTGTTTTCAAGAGGCGTATTCAACGGATAAATGTAGACGGAAACACAATCCGTAAAGAAAACAAAATCCGTGTTCAAAAATATCCGGATGCGGGATATAACTGAGTCGTCAGTTATTTTACCGAGTTGTTTCGCATTCGCAGATCGAGATGTTGCTTGATACAGAAGACACGTTGCCACTACGAATCCGAAGAGGCCTGAAATTTGACAAAGTTGAAGAATATCCTAACAGGAAGCTTTCTTTGAAAACGAAGGTAAGTATTTAGAATACAGTCACGTGACTCTTACCTTTCGGACACCTCACTATTGCGGAGAGGCAAAAAATACTGACACTAGAGACCTATAACATCAGGTTTACCCCTAACCGGTAACGCTTGGGGATGCTCTTCCATCGACACTTCAAGGCCTTGCTAAATGTCTAAAGTTTGAAGGAAAAGGCTTGACGTCGGACTGCAGTTTGGATTTGCGGTACCTAACAAGAGCGTCGTGCTAGAGGTCTCTATTATTGACTCTACGGAAGCTGAGGCTCGCTATTACGGACACCAAGTGATGGTCGTCCCGATGGTGTCCGCAGCAACGAGTTAGTTGACTGTACTTTTGCGCTATAGTTTTTGATATACGGCAGAAAATAATAAAGCTATTCCTGTCAAAGTAGGGTCACTGCGTAGCTGTGTGGGTTAAGCGAGAGGAGGGAATGGAAACAAGGCTGCAAACTGAACCCTCTATTCTTCTTCTCTTCTCGTCTTTTGCAAGTTATTTCCTTCTTAGTCTCTTGATATCTTCCCACAAATCCATCCCAGTGTCGAGTTTATTTTTCCTAAACACAGTAACCCAAGGATTACCATGGTTCTGCACTTTTCCCAATTTCATGTTAATTGTAGCTCTTGGTCAGCACCAGCCACCTTTCTTTTCTCGGTGCTGACCAAAAGGAACGTGGGCTCAGGGTACGAGATTGCAAATTTTCATAATGTTAATGATATGTATCGATTTGTTATGTAGATCTATCATTGGATATTTGGTTTTACTCATCCTGGTGAAGACGAGGTTGAAGACGATGAAATACAGGATGATCCGATGGAGGTCATCAAGAACAAACTGGAAGATCAGGAAAACAGGTGATGGTTTATACTGCTCATATTTGAGCCGGCACTCGACCACAGCTCTGCCTGTCTGTCTTTCTCTCTGTCCGTATTTGCCTCACAGCTAGTCTGTCTGTACCTCAGCTGCCTCCATCTCTTGTTCTGTCAGCTGCTTCTATCTCTCTACCTCTACTGTCCGTCTGTCCAGTACTTATCTGCCTTTCATTCTGTCTGTCTGTCTGCCTGTCTGTCTGTCTTTTTTATTTAGGTTGATAGCGTTCGTAGCACATTAAATAGGTCGATGACCCGGGCGGGGGGAAATTATCCATCATCGGGGTCGATGAATGACGAGAAATTAACAGCTGACAAATGACCTATATTTTACCCCTTTGACAAATAACAAATATGACAAACCATGATCAGACGGATTCCATGAGTCTGTCTAACGACGATAATAGACCATGCCAGAATCCGAATTATATATTGTCGCCACGAATCTCTGGAAAACGTTGTCTATTGTTGCCACCACCCTTTATCAGCTAAGAAAAGGCTCTGCATTAATCTGACTCGCAAAGTCTTTAGTACAGTTTATTAAAATTTCGTCTTATTCTTCAGGATTGAGCAAATTTACGAACTGTTACAACTCCAGACACAAGCTTTAGTAAAGATGGACAAGGATGGTGCCTTTAACGTCGAAAGCACGCAGAAACCCCAAAAGAAAGGGTTTTTCTCGGGGTTTTCTTAAAAACCGGCTACAAGTAGCTCGCATATAACATATCTATATCGTGGGCCGTTGTTTGTTATAAAAAAGCTTAGGGACGTACCGTCTACAATTTATGGGTTGGGGGCTATGTTGAGTATGAATTTTAAAACAATTTTTCTTTGTTAGCCTCATGCACCATTACAAACCTAATATGTTGTTATTTTTTGCCCCCTCCCCCCCGAATTTTACCCATTTTATTATAACCCCCTACATTTTCGACTAATTAGCCCTCTCCCCTCCCCCCCCCAATTCTAAATAGCTAAACCCCACCCATAAATTATGAACATTCCCTTAGAACAGAAAAAAATCTCCCTTTTATTTAAAGAAAAAATTTCTTTTTCTGAAACTGCTAAAACAAACCTGCAGCAACTGCGTGCTGTAGCATTTAATTTATTGTACATAGACATCCAGTGTGTTAGGCAGTATATTTAATCTTTATAGACCCCTTGCATGTGCTCAATTTGGAGGACAAAACAAGACGATTTCAGTCTCATGAGAATTGGAAACCTATTGTTATGTCCTCCAAATTGAGCTGGATTCCGACTGCAAGGGTCTACTAAAGGCGTCATAGACAATGTAGGCAGAAACTCAGTGTTATATTAATTTATGTCGATAATTAAGATATTTACCTGTTAGCACCTCCAAAACGTACACAGATACTAACAAATTATAGAATCTTCTTGTCTCCTTTAATCGTACTTTTTTT